TTGTCTTAACCTGCTCCAGTGACTTTTACCTACAGAAGTCAAGACTTAGTTACACCTCCTTAAAGGAGCAATCAGTATGCAGTTTCTCTCTCTTCTTTGGTATACCCTCGCTTCTAATTTCCTGCACACTCTCTTGGGGATCCTCAGAAGGGAATTAACTTCCTTTATCTTCTATTGCTTAAGATTAACTATAGAACTCCAGGAAGCAAGGGATCCACCCCCCCACCCCGACCCACAAAATACACTTTTAGGCCACAGAGGAAGATCATCGGCGGCTTGCAGGCCTCCAGTCCTACATGTCGTAACTCTTATCTCCCGACCTGCCCAAAGGGAGCAGCCCCTTCTTGGTTGAGCAGGCGGCTCCCGATCCGGTTTCCAGCCTCTCAGTGCCACGTATTGTAGAGACTGTGGAACACAAACCCAAGAACAGGAAGAAGAGTCTCAAAAGTACCTGAAAACTTCCAAGAGCGTCCTTCCCCAGAACGTGCTACCCAAGCACATTCAGAGAATGTTCACAAGGAAGCAGAAGGGACCTCAGGGATCTTCATTTTACAAATGAGTAAACAGAACCAGAGAATGGAGGTGACTGGCTCAAGGCCAGGCAGTTGGGGGGCAGAACGGAAGAAAGTATCCGAAGGTGAGATAAGGATTTCCTGAGGACTGGAATATAGTTCCAGGTACATTCTCGCTCCCCCTCGACCTATGTTGTCTTTGCAGAGACAGCTGCCTTCCAGCTCACACACGAACCCTAGATGTCCAGAGCTGCCTTCGTTTGTTGGCCATTTCTTTTACTTCTAAGGAGAGTCACAACTCACCCTGTTTAGTACGGTAGCAGCCGCTCACCACGTGCGACTACTAAGAACTTGAAATGTAGCTGGTCCGAACTGAGACATGCTAGATTTTTGAAGGATGGAAAAAGAACATAAAGTATTTCATTGATCATGTTTTAATCTTGATTACATGTAGAAATGATCATCTTTGGGGCATATCGAGTTAGATAACACACACTTTTAAGATTAATTTTACTTTTTAATATAACTGCTAGAAAATTCTAAATTACACATGTAGTTTGCATTCTGTTTCTATTAGTGTGTTCTAAAAGATAATCACAAATCTCAGACAAATATGAAATGAACATGTATCAAGAATTTGGGGGGGCGCCTGGGTGGCTCAGTCATTAAATGTCTGCCTTCAGCTCAGGTCCTGATCCCAGGGTCCTGGGATCGAGCCCCGCATCGGGCTCCCTGCTCGACGGGAAGCCTGCTTCTCCCTCTCCCACTCCCCCTGCTTGTGTTCCCTCTCTCGCTGTGTCTCTCTCTGTCAAATAAATAAATAAAAAATCTTTAAAAAAAAAAAATCTCTGAAGGCTCATTAATAATGAAGGAACTAATAAGGTATTATGACCAGCACAAAGGACATACGAAAAGCTAAGCTATTTATAGACAAATTAACAATAAAATATTAGGATGCATTTGCTTGGTTAGATATAAAACTGGTTAATGTCCAACAGGCCATAAATCTTAGGGGCTTTCTGTTCTAGTCAACAGAAATTACCTGCATCTCTACTGGACAAAAATATACAAATTAGCAAGTGACCTCACACTAAGTCTGGGACTTCTGATCAATAGGAAACAATGAGATGCACTACATTGCACTGGACCAATGTTTCCAATAGAGATATAATGCAAACCACACTGTAACTTTAAATTTTCTAGTAGCCACGTTTTAAAAGAGAACTAAAAAAGAAAGAGGTGAAATGAATTTTAATAATGTATCTTATTTCACCCAGTACCTTCAAAATATTATCACTTCCACATATAATCAACATAAGATTATCAAATATGTTACATTTTTTTTCTAACTAAGTCTTTGAAATCCGATGTAGATTTTTAACTAAACAGCACATCTTAATTCAGACCAGCCACATTTTAGGAGCACCATGGCCACCCCTGGCTAATGGCTATGGTGTCAGACAGCACACTTCTAGACAATCCTCAGCTGGTCTTTGACCTGCTCTTATACTGAAAGGATTGAAAGGCAGGCGTCCACCTCGTCTGCCTTATTTCCAAGCGTTGGATGTTTTTTTCTGACAGTCCCCAGATCTTCCTATGCATTAGGTGGGCTCTGGGGATGTTAGGAATGGGTAAGTGGGTCCGAATGCGGGCTGCGGAGCCCGAGCGTCGGGAAAGAGCCGTCACCGGGAATTTGGGATGATTGAATACGACGATGTCTCGGCGGCAGCTCGCAGTGTCTGCAACAGAGGAAATGCTCGGTCAGTACCAGCCGCCAGTCCCCTCGCCCCCACCCCCGTCCACACAGCCGCAGATAAGCTGGCTTCCCCCACGGAGGCAGAGAGGAGCCCCGATGAGTCATCTGTACGCACAGAATGGCAGGGACTCGCCCCAGCCCGGGCTAGAGGCTGAGAAGCCTTTTCAAGAAACTTCCCACGCTTGTAGTACTTACTCGCGCAGAACCCTCCGCAGCCTCCAGCCGGCCTCCGACTCTCAGCTTCCTCCTCTTACTTCTCCGAAAGCCTGAGAAAGGGAAGAGCGGCTTCTGAACTTCCTCAGGCAGACCGAGCGCCCCAAGTAAGACCCAGGAAGCCCCCGGAAGGGGCGGCTGCCCTGCGCGTTCCACAGGTGACCCGGGGGTGACACCCAGCCCTGGCCGAGCCCCACCGAGCCAACGCTGCGCCCCCCTCTCGGGGCAGTGCGTCTGGTAGCGGAGGAAGTGAGGCCCCGCCAGGCTAGGAGGGGGCCACAGCCTTCCGTCCACATGCACACATGGGGAGGTTTTCTCATCAAGGCAGGCTTGACCTCCAGGCATTTCTTGCTGTCCCCGCTGTTCACAGCTGTCGCCCGTTCTGACTGGCTGGTGCCCCCGGGCCACTAAGTGTGGTTAGTGCAGACAGCAGCTGGGGACGAAGGCGGCCCTCACTGAGCCCCTCCGGGAGCCTCCAGCCGCCAGGAACGTCCCACCTCCGGGCTTTCCCACGTGCTGCTTCCCGGCCAGGTATGCCCTCCTTCCCTTTCCACTTCTCTTCTTGTCTCTCCTCCGCCAGATCCCACAGCAAACCAACCCAACACTCCCGGGGGACTTGCCTGGCCCATGGCCCTTGGAAGAGGGAGTCCCAAAGGCTGTATCGCTCCGCCGATGGGACTAGAGGTGGTCCCCTGAGCCCCGAACAGCTAACCACCGGCTGGCTCCTGACTTCAGTGTCCTGGATGCAAGAATTCGGCTGGGTCAATCAGATTGCTGTTTCTTTCTAGCGTTTGAACTAATTCTGTGTAAGTTGTGGCCAGGCAGTGATAAAACACCCAAAGACAAAGCAAAAGAACAACAACAACAAAAAATGGTATTGGAAGTGTATCTGGATTCTAGGCTTGAAGCCTGTGACAGCCATTTTGGGGTCATTTCCAAGCTGATGAGCAGGCAGAAGAAGCTGATCTACAGAGAAAAAGGAAGAGACACAGAGGGAATGAGAAATGAGAGAGAGAGAGAGGAGGGGAAGGAGGGGAGAGAGGGGGTTGGGGAGCCACTGGGCCTCTAGTCTTTCCAGTGTCCTGTTCCAGTTCAATAACCCAGGGCTATGTAACTCATTTCCTGAGCTAGGGTTCCGTGACGTTCCTCAATCCTTGCTGTAAAAGCTTCTTTTTCACTTTAACTAGTTTGAAGAGATGTCTATTGCTTGAAGCCAAAAGAGCCTTGGCTGGAATATTTTCCTTTGAGACTCAGACTGAATGACCACCCCCCACCCCCAGCTCTGCACACTGCAACCCCAACATGGCCCCCAGCTGTCGCGGCACTTGGCTGTCTCGGCACTTGGCTGTCACGCTTTCTCAGTTCCAGACTCCTCCAAGGAGGGGTTTATCCCCATTTCTTTCTATCCTCAGCACCCAGCATGGAGCTCGCTGAAGATCTGGTGCCTCATGCCTGATTGTTGACTGAGAGAACTAAATGTACCTGTGTTTTCAAGCTCCAATAAAAATTCCTTATCTTTGCATACTCTTTATAGTTTATAAAACATACTCATCCCCAGGCTTCTAGCTTATAGATGACCTGAACAACCTCACTGTGTGTTTCTTAGAACGACACAGATGTGACACTGGTGGCTGGTGAAGACTTCTGTGGCTGTCCCTTGCTTGACGGAAGTGGTCAGCAGAGAAGTTCAGTGACTTGCCTGACACTGCACAGTTGGTGACGTAACTAGAACTGTAAGTCAGGTCCCCTGATCCTGAATTGGGGTATTCCTGTACCCATAGCCTGTATCCTTGCATTTACCTCCACCTTTATGAAATAGGTTGTGTGATCCCCAAAATACCAAGGCAATCCTCAAAGAAAGCTTTTAGTCCCACCTCTGAGAGCCCTAACCTATGCTCTAGGGACTGATCAGTGAATCTAGGGCAAGGTTTTAAAGGACATCGGCTCTCTAGAATTAGGGCAGCCCTGTCCTCTCAAAGCTTTGCACCAGCACTTGTCTCCCTGGTGCTCTCCTGGGCCTGTAACCCCTCACAAAACCATGAGAGTCAGGCCTCAGAACTCCACGGTGTTCCCATTCCCCGAATTGCCCTCAACTCACCCAGCTCATTGCCAAAGCGTTCCCGGTGACTCCCGCGCGATGCATCATTTCTTCGCACTGCTGAGAATGCTGAATGCAACACGCAAGCTCCAGGAGCAAACTTCACTCCTTCCCTGCTTGCATTCACCACTTTCCCCGCAAGAGTGTTAGCGTGTGGGATGTCTATTCCTCAAAATGTTCTCCTTTAATCCATATGCTCCTAATAAGAGAACAGTTCTCTGCAGGATTTTAGGTGGAATCCCCAAATTTCAAGTGTTCACATTTAGGGGATTTTTTTCTACATATAGGATACTTAAAAGTACTTACAATATTCTGTGTACATTCCAATATTCTGGGTACATCCCAATGTACATATACATATACATATACATATACATATACATATACATATACATATACATATACAATGTATAAAAGTACATCCCAATATTCTGGGTACATCCCAATAATTAATATGATAAAAATCATTTTAGCATTTTGGTAAAACTTAGAAAGCTACTGAATTTGTCAAAATGGCTTATTCTCATATTCTGCACTCAGTCATGCGTCATGTGTCATTTTTGACAAATGCCAAGTGTTTTTGGAAGCCCTGTATGAGGGGGGGGAAAAGATCCCCAGATTGTGATAAATACTTTGTCATACTCCACAAAAGCAACTACATTTATTTTTTCTATTGACGTGAAATTCACATAAGATAAAATTAATTATTTTTAGATGAACAGTTCTGTGTTTACAGTGAACACCTCAGTGGCTTTTAGTATATTTACAGTGATGTACGATACCACCTCTGTGGAGGTCCACAACATTTTCATCACCCCAAAAGGAAGTCCGGATCCATCAAGCAGTTTTCTCCATTTCCCTCTCCCTCCAGCCCCTGGCAGCCACCAGCCCGCTTTTCTATCTTTGTGGATTTGCCTATTTTGGATATTACACATCCGTAGAATCAGAGAACATGAGACCCTTTATGTCTGGCTTCTCTCACTTCGCATGGGATTTTCAAGGTTTATCCACAGGGAGCATCTGTCAGTGCTTCACCCCTTTGAGCCTGAATACTGTTCCATTGTGTGGCTATACAGAGCCTGCCTGAACTGCGGGGAGGGGACCCAGAACCCATCTACCTATGGGAGGAGTGTCAGAGAGTTGGTGGCCATCCTTACAACACCACAATAAGTAAAATGAAATCCTTTTTTCCTCTTGCACTTTTTTTTTGGTGGGGGCAGGGATGCGGAGCACAGATAGTTGAATTTGCACGACCTCAGCGTGACTAAGTAGGTCTCGGCTGCACAGCTGCTCATGGCTTCTGGGCACGGAGGGCCTCCTCCCAGCCAGGCACCTGCACGATTTCTCATCATCACAACACCATGAAGTGTAGATGCCATTATGCCCATTTCAAAGGAGAGACCCAGAGAGATTAAGGAACTTGTCCAGTGGCCAGGTACTGCCAACCCCCGACCTTCACCGCACCTCGCTGCTTCTAGATCTGCAGTCTCTTCTTGGCTCCTGTCTTAGTCCAAATGGGTTGCTATGATAAAATACCATACGCGGGGTCACTTATAAACAGCAGAATTTATTTCTCACGGTTCTGGAAGCTGGAAGTCCTAGATCAAGGTGCCAGCATGATCAGGTGAGGGCCCTCTTCCAGGCTGTAGACTTCTCCATGTATCTTTATTTGGTGGAAGGAACGAGAGAGCTCTGTGGGGTCTCTTTTGCAGTAATCCCGTTCATGAGGGCTCCACCCTCATTCCCTAAGGACCTCCTAATACCATCACATTGAGCATGAGGATTCAACATATGAATTTGTGGGTGGGGTGGGGTGGGGGAGACACAAACATTCAAACTCTAAGGACTCCTTCTCTTCCCGGTTGCATCATCTTGAGGAGTGCTCTCCGTGGATTACAAACCTCACCGACTCCCTTTTCTGTATCCTCAACAGTCTAAAGCTCTCAGCCTGGGCTCATTTCCTGCCCCTTCCCACCTTGAGCTGAGCAGTCCAGCAATACTTAACTGCTTCTGGCTGACAGAACATTCAGGGCTCCTTTGCACATGCCGTTCCCTTTGGTGGAAGGTCCTCCTTGTTTTTTTCCTTGGCGAACCCCTCTTTATCCTCCAAGTCTCAGCTCCTGTGTTACAGCCTGCGCCAGCAGGCAGAGACCCTGCTTTCCCATCTTGGCCTCCCTAATACCCAGCACCGCACTGCCCCGTGACCTCAATACCTGCTCCCCGAATGAAGCTGTACCCTATCCCCGGCCAGCTCCCGAGGCACTTATCCGACCAGGAGGGAGGTCCTGGGACCCAGGGCAAAGCCATTCTGAAAGGCAAAGGGTCCGAAAGGCAGTTGTGCAAGGGCTTTGCGGGGCAGGGAGAGCCTAGAATGTTCCAGTTCTCTTTTGCGGAAATGCCAGTACAACATAATTTCCTCCCTTTTCTGGTAAAGAGGAAAAGCTCCCCAGAACTCTGTTAATCATTCTCTGGGCCATTCCTTTCCCTCTGCCTCTATCTTCCCAGTGGGTATTCCACCTTCTCCCTTCTCTATCCCTGGGCAGGGGCAAGGGGGCGCTACTTCTAGAAGGTGGGAGGACAACCAGGAGAAGTTGTAGAGGGAAAAAGAAAATCTCACTTTTTTTTTTTCATCATTGAGGGATTTCTTTTTCATTCTCTTGAATTCTGCCCTCTGCAAACAGGCACAGTGATGCCATGCCCCGGCTTTTCCCTCACTTCCCGTGTTTTTCCCCTTTGTTGGGAGATCTTCCTGGGATGGGGCCATGGCTACATGCTAGAGTTTCCCGTGCTGAGTCAATGCCAGAGAGAGTGGGTGTGTCCACACGAGAACCAGTGAGCAGTAGCTGGGAAAAGAGCATCTGAGAAGCGGGAAGACAGAGCTTGTTTGAGAAGAGCCTTCAGCGGTGGTCTCCTTGCCGGGGTCCCTGCTCTCAGGCCCCCCAGGGCTGCAGCTGTGTCCATCTAGTCAACCACCCTGTAGGAAACCCTACTCCTCAAGCTTGTCTCGCATCAGGTAAAGACAATGGAACTTATGAAAACGTTGCATTTCCATGACATTCAGTAATCCATTGATCCTTCCATTTAGTTGGCAAATATCTGCTGAGCACCTTTCATACTCTAGGCAGTGTGCTAAGTTTATACGCAAGAACCTGCCTCATGGGAAAATAGGTATCACCCTACATAGCACATACTTCCTGCCTGACTTCTGCCTGCCTGTCCTGATTCTTAGTGCTGAAGAGCTTAGAGATCCCTAGTTCAGGGCGTGTGTTTTCTAGGTGAGGGAAGAAAGTTCCAGAGATAGGTAGAGTGCAGAGTCTTCTACATCGATGGGGGCGAGGAGGCAGGGCAGAGAAAAGGAAGCGTGGTCTGGTATAAAGGGCTTGGTTATAGGCTGAATTGTGTCCCCCACAAAAGATGTTGAAGTCCTAACCCCCAGGACCTGCAAATGTGACCTTATTTGGTAATAGGGTCTTTTTTTTCTTCCTCTTCCCCCCCCAGCTTTATTGAGATATAATTGGCATACAACATTGTGTAAAGTTAAGGTGTACAGTGTGTTGATTTGATATCGACTGCAAAATGAATAGAATCTTCTGGACCCTTATTTGGATAAGGATAACTTGGTCAAGTGTGTGATGATCCCGGAGTGGGCCCTAGTCCAACATGACCGTGTTCTTACAAGAAGGGGAAATTTGGACATGGAGATAGACCCACACTCAGGGAGAGTGCCATGTGAAGATGAAGGTGCAGATTGGGACGATGTATGTACATATCAAGAAATACAAAGATTGCCAACAAACTGTTATTGTGAAGGTGAAAGGCCTGGAACAGAACCTCCCTCAGAGGGAACCAACCCTACTAACACCTCAGTCTCAGATTTCCAGCCTCCCGAATTGAGACAATAAAGTTCTGTTGTTTGAGCCATCCAGGTTGTGGTGCTTTGTTACCCAAGCCCCAGCTGCAACCAGAAGTCAGCCAGATGCAGCAGATCTGAGCAGGGCATGGAACTGTTGAGAAATGCTCAGAGACGTGAAGGAAGTATCAGGGGCCCCCAGGGACTCACACGTACGTAAGAAACTTTGGATACTGGATAAGCCCATCGTTCTGGCCAAGGTCTCCTGCTGCTTCCAGACCTAAGGGAGAGTCACGGACCCTTGGAAAACCTGGACCCCTTCAGCCTCTCTGCCCATGGGGATTTTGAGCATCTCTGAAAATCAGAAAGTGGCCTCCATTTTATTGGGGGCAGAATCAATTTAAATTGTGGCGGCTTGTCTTCCAGCTGTCAGCTCGGGCCAGAACATCGCATATTTTCCATCAATAATTCAACGATCTCAGAAATAGAGGCTCCAGGGATTCCTTGGGGAGCTGACTGGTTCCATTCATTATTTAGCGGGTACTTACAGCCTTGCCCCTGAGTGCCGGAGAATCCTGCTCCAGGCTGGATGCCTTCCCCATTCACTCCTTCTCCCTGCCCCTCTGCCTTCGGTGTTCATTTTCTTTTTCTCCTCTTTTCTCCGAGGCTGCTTCCTGTCATCGGGCATGGATACCTTCCAGATTTTACAGTTTCCCGCATCTCTATCTTGCTGTCCAGCACAGGCTGAGATGCTAAAGTCTAAGATGAAAGGTGTATTTAAGAATTCTTTTAGCTCTCCACCTTGCTTAAAAAGGGTTTGTGTGTAGCAACACATAGAGGTTTTGTTTGTTTGTTGCTTATTTTTTTTTCAAGATGCTTGTGAATTGTTCAAACAGGGCCTCTTGGCGAGGCAGCTGGGAGAAGGATCGCAGCATTCCTTCTGATGGCTCCTTTGCACCCACTAGTTGCCCTGGAGCTGCTGGTTTTGTGCGTGGTAGAGGAGAGGAGCGGGTGGGGGGCTGTTCATTGTGTAGCGGCCACTGGAGAGACGACACCCAGGGACAGCACCTGCGACAAGACCAGTGGGCAGCAGCGGTGGTGAGACAGTTTTTGGTGGCATGTCGGGCAGTAGACAGGAGTGAGTGGTATTTGGAGCACAGGAGAATTAACACTGAATACCCCATGGCGACTAATACACACTGGTTTGAGGGCACAGAGGGGCCTCCTTGAAGTAACTGGGAGAACTGAACAGAGAAAGGATGATGGCAGGGTCTATGGGGCTTCAGTCAAGGGGCTGGGGGCTCAGAGCTACTGTACTTTGACATTGATGTTGATCTGATTTGGAACTCATAGCCTATAGAAGCCTGCAGCATGACTTAGATGCTAAATACAGGGCAATTCACAGAATAGCTGTTGGTCACTGTAAAATATTTATTATTCAGTATTCTGGTGGCGTACAGCTAGGAAACAAAATGTCCTGACACTGAATGGTTTAAAACAACCATTTATTTTGCTCCTGATTTTGTAGGTGAGGAATCTGTGGAGGGCTTGGCTGAATGGTTTATCTCTGCTCTACATGGTGTCATTTGGAGCAACTGGGGAATCCACTACCAAAAGGGCCTTTTGCTCGAATGTCTGGCACATCTAGTGCTTCGTGGCCCCTCTCTTCTCAGGCAATATCTCGTCCTCCAGGGCCTGTGCACGTAGCTGACATTCCCATGGCATGGTGGTCTCGGGGAGGCTGCATTTCTTACATGGCGGCTAGCTTCCAAGAGACAGGAGGTGGAAAAGGCCAGACCATCCAAGAGTTGTCACAAGAACTGGCATTTGGGGGCGCCTGGGTGGCTCAGTTGGTTAAGCGACTGCCTTCGGCTCAGGTCATGATCCTGGAGTCCCGGGATCGAGTCCCACATCGGGCTCCCTGCTCAGCAGGGAGTCTGCTTCTCCCTCTGACCCTCTTCCCTCTTGTACTCTCTGTCTCTCATTCTCTCTCTCAAATAAATAAATAAAACTTTAAAAAAAAAAAAAAGAACTGGCATTTGGGTCATTTCCACCATGTCATAGTGATCCAAGTTTATTTTATGTCATAGTGATCCAAGTTTATTTTATGTTGCAGTAACAAGGCCTCCCAAATCTCAGTTGCTTAATGCCACTGAAGTTTATTTCTTACTCATGCAAAAAAGTCTATTCTGGATATAGTCATCTTCCAGGGCAGCTGTTCTCCATGGGTTCATTCATTTTTCCAGGGCGCTTTGGTCTTAAGGCACCTCTATATCAACACGTGCTTCCAAGATCACTGTTGGAAGAGAAGACAGAGTTTGCATGCTCCCATGCAAAAGCGAAATGTGTCCCTTTCACTCACATTTCATTGGCCAAAGCAAGTTAAATGGCCAAACCTTATTTCAAGGGGGCAACGAAGCACAATCCTCCCTGCCAGAAAGACAGGTGAACCTGGCATATTGGGGAGCAGTGGTGACGTCACTTCGTTCCTCCAGAGGGTGATGCTCATGAGGATCGACGGAAATCAAGTCATCACTGGGACCCACACAGCCACACTGAGAGGGGACTTCTAGGAGGCTGGTTAGCGCCACTCAACACTCAGCGACTAACTCCTGCCCTCCAGCCTTAGGAAGACAACTTTAACTGGTGAGTCCTCACAGTTACTGCACATTTTGGAGTTCCTGGGTTGTCTTGGTCCATTCGGGATGCTGTAACAAAATGCCATGGACTAGGGGGCCAACAAGCAACGGAATTTTATTTCTCACTGTTCCGGAAGCTGGAAGTCCGAGATCACCAACAGATTTGGTGTCTGTTGAGGGTTGGTTTCCTTGGTGGTCTTCTCACGGTGGTCTTCTCACCGCGGCTTCTCAAGGCGGAAGGAGCAAGCAAGCTCTCTGCTCTCTTTCATAAGGACCCTGATCCCGCGCATGAGGGCTCCACCCTCTCCAACCAGTTACTTCCTGTGGCTCCACCTCCGAATGCCATCACCTTGGGGGTTAGGATTTCAACACAGGAATTTTGCAGTGACACAGACGTTGAGACCACAGCTCATGTTTGTTTTTTAAGGAGTCGAGACTCTTAAGTATTAAATTTAAAAACACAAAAATTCTATTTGTGTGAAATGAATAGACATAAGGATTTCAAACAACTCACAGAGTGTATTCCAATGTCTGCTTTGCTTCCCTATGTTTTCATCCCCTTCCAGCTGTAACCCCCAGGACAACAATAACCCAAAGAGAGCACTGTTCTCTAATATGTAAGGCCAGAGACACTCATAAAAGCCTTGGCCGTGTGTTTAGTGCCTCTGCTGTGGCTCTCCACCTCGCTTCGATTTTCCCTAGAAAGGATGTCGTTGGGGATGAAGGCACATTCCAACCCCATCACGCTCTTAGGGCGCAAGAAGGGTTGTTTCGGTTTAAAAATTGTACATTTTCCACTCTTGCTCCCTTTGGAGAGATTTAAAACCCCTCACTAGTTTACAGGCCTGCGTGACCTAATGGGGAGAGAGCCATGTACAATTTTTTTTTTTTTAAGTGTCTTCAGTGCTCTTGGGAAAGGCTACTTAATCATTAGCCAACCACTTGTTTTCTCTTAATCTCTGTTAATTACCTTTTTGTAACCAGAGACAGGAAGAGGGCTGGGAGCCCAACAAGCCCAACAGGTGAAAGCAATACTAAGAAGGGGAGGGACCATTAGCCAATCAGAGTGAGGCGGAGAGGCGGGGCAGACCCCCCCCCCCCCCAGTGCGTCAGCGCTGCCTGGCGCGCTTGGGGCTGGCGGCAGGGGCCAGGTGGGGGCAGGCTGGGAGCAGAGATCTTCCGAGTAGTTGGCTTTTATGGGTAAGTGAGATTTAGAAAGGAATTTAACTCTTTTAGCAAAAAGTTCACCAGAAAATGTGTACGTTCCCTGCCTTAGTACAGGGACTATGCAGACAGTAACGCAACCACTGACGGCTGACTTGTCCTTAGCAGTCCGGGACGCAAGGCCCGAGTCGGGTGTTGCTTGGTGTGGTAACCCCAGGGCCTCTCATGAGGCCCGGCACCTGGCAAGCTCCCTCTCGGCTGAAGAAATGAATCCACAAGTTTATTACAGACAAACGAATGGGACGGTGCCCAAGGCTGTTCATCCGAACACGCGTTCTTACTGCCCAGTCCTTGGGTGTGGGTGGTATAGGAGGAGGCAGAGTAGGGCAGGGGCTTGTAGAATGTCTCTCAATTTGGGTTTATGTGGTGTTTCCTCATTACCTTCAGGCTATACATTTTTGGCAGAAATATGAGAGAAGGGATCAGGTGATGTTAAATTTGAGCGGGATTATGATGGTGTCTGACGGTTTTGTCCATACAAAGTTACTATAGTTTTCTTTCTCATTAATAAGTATCTCCCAGAGTGGTGTGTTGAGACCCTGTGAATATCCTGTTTCTCATGACACTTTGGTCCACTAGCTTTAGTATTCATGGATGATTGGATGATTCAGTTGATGAACCAGTTATTTACCATGATGACCGCCAAATGTTGACTTTCTAATTTTCATCCTTCCTTCTGCATTTATTAATATTCTACTGTAAGAAAGAGCTTTCCTTTCCCCCCATTTACTTATTTAAATCAGTTTTAACTAATTATTCTTATTTGAGTCAATAATCTATTACTATCATGAATTATTCTGATGCTTAAATTGTCCCAGGTTTGGCCTTTGGGGGCTCTTATGCTTTACTGCCCTGCCCCAGCCTTGGAAACAACCATTTTCCTAAGGTGCCCTCTTTCTTTTTAGTGGGGAAGGTATTTAGATACCAAGATCTGGGGGCCAGGGAAGCCCATTGCTATTGGAGTGCCATTGCGTTTTAGCTTTCTTACTGGGCAGACCTAGGAAGTATATGTCTGTATACACACGTACACACACATACATACACATACACCCACACTTTGTTTTATATCTATCTGTCTGCAATTAAAAACCATTAGTTCAAACCATAAGTTTATACTGATATCTCTAATTCCAACCTAACATCACAGAACTTCATTTTAACTCTCTCCCTTTCCATATTTATGACTTCCTTTTCCAACAGTGAAAAACCTGGCTCCTATCATCCATGATATACTGTTTTCTTTTCTTTTTTTTTTTTAAAGGGAGAGGGAGAGTCTTTTTTTTTTAATATTTTATTTATTTATTTGACAGAGAGAGACACAGCGAGAGAGGGAACACAAGCAGGGGGCATGGGAGAGGGAGAAGCAGGCTTCCTGCCGAGCAGGGAGCCTGATGCAGGCCTCGATCCCAGGACTCTGGGATCATGACCTGAACCAAAGGCAGACGCTCAACGACTGAGCCACCCAGGTGCCCCTGTTTTATTTTCTTAATCCTAGAACATACAGAGACTAGTTTCAAAATAGTTAGCCCGTACCTCTGCAGGGAAAAAAAAAGCAAAATGAAACTACTGACTTGAGTTCAATGTTTACAAATAATTTTTGTCTCTAGCTTCAGGATAGATGGTTCAAATACTTGGCTTGAAAGTTACTCAAGATAGCTATGGTGGTTGTTTTAACTGCTATGTTTGGGTGGTTTATTTTGCAAGGGATTATAGAATGACTTTTCAAATGAGCATTTCTCACAGGTCCAATGTGAAAAAGTCAGGCAGGACCTAAATGACATCAAGCTCTGGGGAAAGAAGTTTCACCTGACCCTTGTAGAAATAGGCATTTATTAGTTTAGGCACTTCTTGGGTGAGTCTGGAAAGAGAAGTACTGGCCTTGGGCCTAATTATGAATGAGGTGAAGTTTGTCTTTGATATTCTGTCTCTCTCCTTTCTCCATCTGGGAGCCTCAGCCCCCAGAAACTCACTGCTCTCTGGCTGCCCTGAACATCGTGCTATGGTTTTCCAGTTTTGCTTAGGTCTTCCTTTCAATCCTCCAATTAATCTTTCTGGTCTCTCAGCTGTGAATGACCTGTGAGCCCCTGGAGGTATAGCTGTCTAGTCAAACACATTCACAAGGGAGAGTGAAACGATTAGCCAGCTAGGTAGGTACCCTCCCCTAGGGTACGTGTGTACTGCAGTTATTAAACTCAGGCCCTGGGGAAGCATAGAAGGGAGATGTCTTTGGACCAAGCCCTTCTTATCCTGACCCCTGACTTCTGCCTACTTAATCTGTGGACTGCACTTGTCCTGCTGGGAAGAGCTGGAGGAAATGGATGTAATGTGTGCTGCCTTGAAATCATTACAGATCATTTATCACTTGAATGGTTTAATGCATATGTAAACACGTTGTATTTATAGACTTCTGTTCCTGAATAGTGAGCTTATGAGCAACCCCATTCTGTAGATCCTGATTCAGTGGAATGTCTTTACTATCTACCACTCGAGTAATACGTGAAGCAGTGAGTTAGCTGGAAGAACTAGTCAGTGGAAACAAGATTAAGATCCCCATCCATCGCTGCTGCCGTGACCACAGGGTGGGATAGTATCAGTGACTCTTCAAATTAAGGAGTTTGAAGAGAACTCCTTATTGAACTGCGGACTTGCTCAGGTGCATGGAGTATTTCATATATTGACCAGCACGACAGCTGTCCCAGAAGGTGGGGTGGGCTTCAGAAGCAGTTAGAAGGATTGACTGTAGACTGTGCAACCATTTCTCAGGGGTTTCAGAAATTATTTTGGATAGGGCAATCTTTTAATAAGAAGAAGTTTCCATTACAATCAAGATGAGGGCTTAGAGTCATCGAACTTGAATTTTCAAAGAGATACATTAGTCTGTACCCCAGGCTGGCAAGGCAGGGCATAACTCCTGATATAATGCCATGTCGGGTGAGAAATGGTGCCTGCCCTTCCAAATCATT